AGGCTGCTGGTCCCTCTCTCATGTGCCCACTCTTCCTGTGAGTGTAGGTAGCAAATGGCAGCATATCTGACCATGGGAAGTATACAGCCAAGTCCGATCCTGACATCCACAAAATAATAACATGATAATAATCCTTTGCATTTAATATAACACCTTATCACATTGTCAAAACAGCTCAAAACATTTCTCGGAATGTATTGTGAAACGTAGTGACTGTGTATTTACAGGTGACACAAGAGCAGAAACCCTGGCTGAATTTTTCCCCTTCCCTAGCCCAGACCTGAGATCAGCAATTGCACTCACTCTGCCACCCCAGCTAAAATCAAATGAGATTTTGAGAGGTCCAATCTGAGACCTTCTTCATCTCTAGTGTATGTGCCATTCTTTCACTTATAAAAATAACATAACTTTAATAAAATAATCCCTTTCCCTTTTGTACTGTTTTTCTGTGCTCTCTGTGTGTGTTGTTTCTATCGGGCTCTTCCTTTATCTGAGCATGCCATGTATATCTGTATTAATGTCCAAATCTATGCCTTAGGATGGATATCTTTCTTGATGCCTGTCGTTATTAAATTTTCAGTTTCTCTTTTCTGGACTTCGCACTGTCTTCACCTCACTCTGTATCTTTAACAAGACTCCTTCACTTATGCAGCTCAATCAAAAACAAAATCCGCCACTGTTGCACTAACCAGACATGCAGCTGGAAAAAATACCCGAGTGCTCACAATGTGGGACTTCAATTCGCCTGGGTTCAGGTAAGTATTGAGATGCTAATTTCCCTGTGTTTTTAATAGGATTGATGGTGGGACAAAAAAAATTGGAAATTGGGAGTCTCCCAAGACACGACCTCCCTCTCCAGCAATACTTGTGGGAATGCCCGACAGATTCTGAATGGCCTCTAAGTTGAAAGGCAGAGGGCAACATATCGAGCACAAGCGAACCTTTCAGCGCTGTCCTCAACCAGCATCCCTGCCATCTAATGACGAGTCATATTGTAACACACAATGACAAAGAAAATCAAAGCATTTTGTGTAACTTTCTTCTCAATCTCTATGAATTTTTTTTGCTGATTTATTTCCAAATGCAACCTTTGTTCTCGAGATCATTCATAATTATTTGGCAGGCTGCCAGAGCCGAGAGAGCAAGCTTGGGGTCAGCAGTTAAAGGTTTCTATCAGGAAGACTGAATGAAAAGACTACTATATGGAGGTGTGATAACAGGGAGCCCGTTTCATGTAAAAAAAACATATAATTCCTTCCTCCAAACGGTTTTCATTTCTGAAATTATTTGAAAACAAAGGAGAACAGCAAAAATATTCTGAATCTCCAATTCACAGTCATTTCTCCCTGCTATATCGTCAAGTTGTTGGGAGTTTTTTTTCTTAAAAAAATGGAATAGATGAACAAAGACAAACAGTGTTACAAATTAAAGGGCTGGTGAGTGCATTATCGTCTGTAAACGCCAAAATATCTTTTAACCAGTTTTTAATCCAATTGTGGAGAAAATGCGGTAGTTTTATAAACCTGAAGAGAGCTGCTGTGATTTTCAGTGTCTAAACTATTGTGGATTTGAAACTAATGTAACAAATCGAATTGCACTGTTTTTGGACATTCTTTCCCTTCGCCTCCTCCTCCCTCACCCCCCATATGCTTTACTCATGGTGGAGAACGGTAGGCTATTTGCGAGATTTGTAAAATTCCATTAAATCCTTTAATTTGTGTTTTCTTATGGCGAATAAAGAGACCAGGAACCATTTACAATAACTATCTGCCTCCTCCACTGAATGATTAGAGTGCAAATCCCTCTGTTTACATTTAGCCTGTACGCTCCTGCCAAACTTCTATCATTTGACTGAAGTCTCCATTATTTCTAAAGCCTCCTCCAGTTCTCCAACGCTGGATACAAATCTTCCAGGATATTTTTTTTTCACGGTTCCAATCGCATTGAGATCAGCTCGAGGGAAGCGCCTCTTATCCTGGTAGCCGAGTGAAGAAGCACTTCTCCGAGTTTGATGCTGAACCTGATATGAAATACGAGTGGGACGCAGCAATAATCTGGACAATGACCGTTCTGGAGTCTGAGCTCAGTACTGAGGGCAGCAACTGAGATTGTGCAATACCATGTGCAGAATTAATGCAAGGATGTATTTGCTAATAGGAGTGATGGGTCAGAAGGGAGGTGCATTCTATCGAAGTACATTAAGCAGCTATTGTTCTGTCATATGTTTAAAAAATTAAAACTTTTACAACATTTTGGCTCTCGCATAGGACTTTTTGTGTTTCACAGATGGGAGTCCTTTTGTGAACGGTTATAGCATCAATTTCATCTCAATTTTATTTCAATTAAATTTTTACTTGCCTTCATTTCTCCTTGGAGTATCTCTTTTTAAAAAAAATAATTCTCATTACTTTCAATGCAATTTTAATCCAGTTGGAGCAGCAGAACCCTCAATGAGTCCGACCCTCCTGCCCTTCACACTCCCCAGGGTCAGGTACCACAGCAGATAGGATCGTGAGCCTATTACCTCTGTCCCAATACAATGTGTTACCATGGAGATGAGGCAAAGCTATATTATATGGGTGGGATGTGTAGCTGAAGGTTTATATAGTGCGGATGAGTCTGAACACTGGGGCTCAGTGAGATCCTGAAACAGAGTCTGAGGATTTTGCTATTTAAAATGTGCCAGTTTAAAATATCTCTACATTATCCTTGGTAAGAATAAGACTGAGGACCATTTTTAAAAAAAAGTGCAGTTTGTGCTTTAACTCGGCGTTAACCAAAGATGCAGAAATTGAAAAGGTGCTTTCATCATCAGCTCCGCACTGAGATTCTGTCCCCTGTGGCCAGTGCTACCCCCATCTTGGGAGATTTACCCTCTCTTGCTGGGAGCCCTGGCCTTTTCTCCCCTAGGGTCTGCCTCTCTCCTCGAGGGGACTGACCCCCTCTCCGGAGGGGAGGTAGGGGGGATAACCCAACCTTCTCTCCAAGGGACAGTGACCCTTTCTCCCAAGGGGAGGAGGGGTGGATGGGGAGGAGGGGGAAATGGTACAGGTATTGCAGTAGTTGGGATGACACACTTTCGGGCAAGGAGATGTTATTTGCAAGTCCCGTTATCAATACTTTGCTTTCACTTCATGTTCACGCTGCAAGGATCTTGCAAGACAGTCTCTGGAAGATTCTAACTTTAAAGTTAACTCAAACTGAGGTTATTGTGAAATCTGGAGCTAAAACCTGCAGTCACTAGCACCCTCCAAGGCCCGTGCTGCAGTTTAAATGCAGGCACCTCTCACTCCCAACAACAAGAAGTAATTTATTGCATTTATAATAGTGACTTTCACATTGGGAGGATGTCCCAAATCGCTGGGCAGTTAAGAGTTTGCACGCAAGCAAAGGGGTTGGTGTCGAGAGGCGGGGGACCAAGTGGGGTGGGGGTGGGAAGATTGACCGAAGGCAAGGTCAAAGAGGAAAGTCTTGAGATGGATTTCGAAGGAGACGGGGGAGGGGGGCGAACAAAGTGATAGGACTCCAGGATAGAATTCCAGAGAGTGGGGGCAGGGAGAGAGACATGAAGCAGGCCAGTGCCTACCAAATGGAGGGAGTGGGGGGTTGGTAGGGTTTTGGAAAGTCACAGAGGTAGGGCGGGATAAGACCGAGGAGGGCTTTAAAGTGAGGATGAAAATCTTGAACTTGATTCTCTGGGGATAGGAAACCTAGTCTGACTATCCTCAAGACTGTAAAGCCCCTTGTAACATCATTGGTTCCCCCCCACCCCGCGCTTCAACATTCAAATTGATCTATTTTTTTCTGGATTGCAGTTAGACAGTAAAATAGGATCTCCAGCACATTTCTAACAAAAATGCTGACAGGTACAAGACGACACTAACAAAAAGAAAATTAGCGATGCTTGTGTTAGCTTTGATCTTACGCAGTTGAAGTCTTCTTAACACAAAACAGCTGCTTCATTGGGTTTTTGGGCCTTTCCCCACACAAGGCAGCTCTGACTGGTTAAGGGTTAAACAAATGAGACAAAAACATATGATCATGAAGGTGATTCCCTGACTACGCTGTGTTCAGGATTGGCCTCCTCTTTACTGTGGTTGTTTTAAAAGCGTGTATTTTGAGCAGGTTCTGTAAAACATTTAACTCCAGCTCTAACAGCTTAAGCTAATCAATAAATAAGAGTACTTTTGACAACCAAAGTCTGAATGACTCGCATATAAGGGTCTTTTATTTCAACCAAAGATTCTAAAGTGCATAACAACCATTATCTAAATAAGCCCTTCTTGAGCACCCAATCTTTGCATCACCTTTGATCCAGTTATAATTAAAGCCAAAAGTACAGACGTCTCATTTAATTCCAATGTGGGCAGTTTTAATGCAGAAAGTTTCGCATGTGGTTTTCAGCTCATGACCATCTGTTTCTGGATTTCATATATAAACAGGACACTTTAGGGAACAGAGATTAATTCAGCATTGGAATGCCATTCAAAACGTGTTAGCTGTTTCCCTCCGCCAGGTCAACCAAAGCAAAAACAACCTTGGTGCTCGGCTTAGAAGGTAGCATTACTATTAGAAATATTGAACAATGCATTCTGACTAGTTTTATGTTTTAAATTACAGGTCTCCCTCAAATAAAACTATTAATCTTTTTTTTTGTCTCTGAACGTTTTACAGTCTTGTTACACTTATTAGCTGCTGGCAGCAAAAAAACTTTTAAATGAAAGCCAAATTGCTATAGTCATGAGAAAGGAAATTAAAGCTCACTCTGGGGGGAAAAATTTCACTGTGAGATCCTCCCAAGGTAGAATTTCATAACCTCCTGCATGCCTGCTAAAGATGTCACTGCTTGTAGGACTGCGTATGGTACTGATATAAAACGGAGGCTTTAATGGGAACAACATGTTTGTGTTGGAGAGATTAAGAACCAGTGTGTTTTACATTGCAGGACACGTTCTTGGTAGCGAGGGAGCAAGGAAGCAAACAGGGCAGTGGGTACTCACCATACTCGTTTGGTGGGCAGTCTTTGACGAAGAAGATCTCACCGAGATTGTCCTCCTCTGATGCCAAGCCCTGCTGGTGTAACTGCAATCGGTGAAGGCTCTCTGTCTGCTGGTGTTTCAGAGACCGGGCGTGCTGGACCAGGTTTAGCTTGGCCTTGGTGGTATAGTTGCAGAGGCTGCAGTTGTAGTAGTAGAACTTAGAATTTGTCGTACTCTCGTGCTTCTGCAAGTGCTGAAAAGTCAAGACCAGAAAAGAGGACAATGAGGGTAATGGGACAGCTCTGGTTCCCTCCTGTTATTTCCAGCAGCCACCATTATTCCCTCATTCTGCCATGCCCATAGACAGAGTGGGGCAACACTTTTTTTGCAGTTTCAAGCAAGGTTATATACATGAAGAATATCATTTTATCATTAACTGTAGACTTAATACACTATTTCGTCACAAAAAAAATTATACAGTCAATTCATTTCACAGTATATTTTATGAAGTGCTTTGAGATGTCTCGAAGACCTGATAAGGTGCTATATCAAATGCAAGGATTGTTATTACTATTTGGATTAGGGTATTGGCCTGCTCAGTGTTGTGAAATACCAAACCTAGCAAACTGACAGAGATACCAGCAATAACTAAGAGTTACAGAAAATTGAAGCAACCTAACAAGGAAAAAAAACTGAGAATAACCAAACGTCAAACTATGACGTTTCATTAACATCAACACCAGATTTGAACAGAACCACACTGAGCGCAACTGAAGTATCCTACAGTTAATCCTATTGAAAATCCTATAGGACTCCATAGGATACTTCACCTAATGAAGGATTTTTTTGCCAGATCTTTTGTTATAGAATCTAATAGGATCCAATAGGATAATGTTGAAATCCTCCTAGAATATTTTTTTAGGGGTAATAAGCATTCCCATTTGAAGTATAAAGGGATATTGGGAAAAGGCAGATGAATGGGATTAGAGAGCTTGTAGTGGTGAAGCTAGCACAACAGTTTGGAAGCCTGATCTCCTGTTATCTTGATGTTCACAGTTCCAAATACCTCAAGCATGTGCACACATCAAACGCATAATACAGGGACTCTAACACACACACATATCTATACACGCCTAATAACAATCTCTCAAGAAAAAAAACAATAATAAAATTGGTCATTTCAATCCACGACTGTTTGTGGGACATTGCTGTATGCAATTAGCTGCTGCGTTTCACCCACAAATATACAGTCAATTTACTTTACAGTATATTCAGTGAAGCACTTTGAGATATCTAGAAGATGTGAAGAGCTCTATATGAAATGCAAGGATTATTATTATTATTACTCACACCCAATGCACATCACCAATATACACATCTGTGCCTATGTATATGCTTGACACACTGAACACACACACGCATTTTATTTCTCCGAGGTTTCATTTGAATAAAATTCTATTTGGATTTCCACGAAAATAGCTTTTCTTTTGGGTAAGTCAACTTGGCCCCCTCACTCAGAATGGGTTTATTTTATGAAAGTTCTCTGTGTGCTAAAGCCTTTGTTTGTGCAAATGAAGGAAACTGGAGGAATCAGAGCCATGGTTTCTGTCCCTAGCTTGAAATCAGATATATTTGACGTGTTGGGTTTTTTCCAGTGTGAAATGCTTGAGCTAGAAGCAGTTCTAATTGCAGCGGTGCATGGCAGAGGCAACCCAGGGTTACTTTGATTGCTCAAACTTAGCATTTGTTCCAATGCAGTTTTTTTTCATAAAAAGTTTTATAAAGAATTGTGTTTACGAAACAGAACAAAATGAACAGAGCAGCCGACACAAATCCGAGGCTCAGAATGAGAGACACGCCTCTTTGAGCACTGAGGCCTCTTTGCAGCTTTCAAAATCAAAACATTTTGCGTTGCAAACCAACTGCAGTCGAGACATCCGTTCTCTTTATTTCTGACAATAAATTTCTTACGGCAGAATAAAAGGCATAAGCATACCCGCTTGCCCCCATCATTGTGCAGATTGGCTGCCATGTCTGCCCAAAAAACACACAATTACTCCGCTTTATAGTTTATTCTGTGAAGCGATCTTGGACGTTCTCCCTACGTGAAGATGCTATATCAAATGTAAGGATTATTATTATTATTACTATCATCCTTACAATAGTTGGAATAAATGAACAAACATAACTCAAATACATATTTATATTTTTCAAAATCTATTTTTAATGCAAAACAATGCTCAGACCTCCCAGTGCTCAGCATAGTTCGAATCTCAGGGCAAACACTGGCAACTTGATGCCGTCTAATTTGGCCATCAATCCTTGATAGCGTAATACGTACTGAAGATAGTTGGTGGGAAACAATTTAAATCAGTAACCAAAATGCAAACTTTGAAATTTACACCTGTACCGGGGAGGAGAGGGGACAAGGCTAAATGTTTGTAGATCTGACTCTAGAGCAAACAATCTGGAGGTGAGGCGAATATTACAAGTATTTAAACTTTTGACACAATACTAATCCCACACAATGAAGGCTGCTGCACTAAATCACAGGCTTACAGCACTCTTTTAAAAAAAACATAGCAGGAGACAACTCTCAAGTTCTGGAAGCTCACCTGTAAGTTAAGGTCCTTCATTGCTAATCCCCCAAATATATAATAGCAGAGACAGAGCATGAAGAAGACTGGTGTGGTTACCTGAATAAAGTGCTGTCTGCAGCCTATTAAATATAAAGCAAATGTTACGAGCATTGCGTTCTCGCACAACTCTATGCTAAAATAACACGTTTAATTTGTGGACATCATCCTGAGGCTGGAATAAATAGAAAACCCTGGATTTACTGCTACAGCTTTATTCTTAAGGTACCGAAAGAACCTGAGGATTTTTGTCCACAACCACAAAAGCGTTTTCTGCTGGGGAGATGAAATTAAACTCTATTTTCTTTTTCTCATGCAAATCTTGTAACTGTTTACTTCGATCAGTATGCAACCAATGTTATCTCAAGAGCTGTTTTTTTACTGTTGGCAATTGTTAAGAATCGCTGGTCTTGCATGCAACATAAACAGGGCTGCCCTTTTCAGTATTCAGTATTTGATGGGACGTACCTGGCAGGACTTCTAAAGCTTGTTAATTAAAAATAAAGGCATGCAAGAAGAAGAAGATGAGGAAGGAGAGGAGAGGACGAAACAATTCCAAACCACAACTGAATCTTCACAGGCGAACTTTGCAAATGATCCTCTACAAGGGAAACGTGGCAAAGAACAGCAAATCACTGTGATTCAAACTGGCCTGTCAGCTGAGTGGCCTAATTTGAAGATTTTTTTGTATTGAAGATGCCTCTCCAGCCCCCTCTGGCCTGATGTTGCTCCGTCTCAAATGTTCACAGCTGAGTTCTACCCTCTGGCAAGCTGAGCATATCAAGTGTGCCTCCGCCACTCACAGGCTAATGAACAATGAACAAAAACAAAAGCACCCGCAAAGCCTTTATTATCAGATCTTCCGCAAAAACACAAAAACGTCCTTCTTTGGTGTAGAGGAAGTGCCAGTGAGCCTGCAGGTGTGAGGCCGCTGAAGAAAAGGCTCGACTAAATAGATTCTTTGATTGTCAGGGATTAGAGTCACAGTACCAGTGGTAACACACATCTTTTCCTTTAACTTACAAAATTTTCTCACGAGTCTGCAAGAGTTCACTCCATCAGGGGCTTTCTGAAACCATTGAAACATCTTAAGTTTTAATTAAGTTGAAGGTGTCGGAATAAAGCCTTTTTGGCATAGAATCAGAGTCATTAATTACTGCTATCTTTGTTTCTTTCAGCAGAAAGAAGGCTGTGCACTAGTTACATTACTTATCCAGGAACCCTTTACATCTCCCAGTTCATATTCACCTCGGAGCATGACTTGATAAAGCAGTTTACCAATTACTGTACTTTTATTTGTGACACTCTGAGGATCCTGTTGACAAATCATGTGGTTAAACTGAAGTTTATGATGCTTATGGTATGGTAAGGTATTAAAAGGAATAAAACTGCAGCCCATTTACAAATGTAGCTTTCCGGTTTCCTAAGGAAGATCAAGCGGTTAACAAGGATAGAAAAAGCCTAGTCAAAACATTTCTTTCAAACTATTTTCCTTTTGAAATCAACAGTAATGCTGTTGGCAGCGTGTGTGTACTCGTACAAAACTGTTGTATTGCTGCATTCTCTCTATGGGCACTTTGGCAAAAGTGAAAGGCTGTGCGGATTAAAGACCTGATTTATAAGGTTAAGGTAGTGCAGTACTGTTTGCAAGTTTCAGCTGCTGTTTGACCACAAACTGGAGGAATCTGGACATTTGTGGTTCCATTTACAGCACCTTAAAATAACTCTTTAACAGACAACCTCTTTCTTTTCTCACTCCCTAAAATATTAGTTTTAAAAAGCTTTTTCTTTTAAAAAACAGTGCAACAATGTACTGTAACTATGGAGATTTACAACATGGCACAGGCTTCAAGTGGACTTGGGTAATCTAAACGCTAAAAAGCAATTCAGAAACAATTCTACTCGGGGGCAAACCAATTCTACTCCAGTCACAATTTCTATAAATGCTGTAATGGTTCTTTTAAAATTGCTTATTTCGAACAAACTGAATTATGGAAAGAACTTGGCAGGATATCTAGTCCACACAGTTGACATGCAGAGATCTCGACATCATTGGGGGGGGGGGGGAAGGTGTGGGTGGAAAAATTTCTACCTTGCTATCAGGTACAGCAGCCTGACTCAGTTGGCAGCACTCTCACCTCTGAAGGTTTGTGGGTTCAAGTGCTGCGCTACATGGACTTTGAGCTCATGGTTTGAGTTGACACTTCAGTGCAGTGTTGAGGGAAATGCTACACTCTGTCCTTTAGATGAGACATTAAACCGAGGCCCCATCTGCCTGTTCAAGTGGATCTCACAGAACCCACAATGCTACAGAACCACAACACTATCTCAAAAAAGAAGGGAGTTTCTCTCAGTTTCCCAATAATAGTCCTCCAGTTAAAATTGATCATTTGTTTCATGGCTGTTTGTGGGATCTTGCTGTGGGCAAATTGACTGTTGTGTCTGCCTATAAATGCACAGTCACTAATCAACAGAAATAACTGTGAAGAGCTTTGAGATGTTTCAACGTGATCACACACAAATCAAATGCAAGGATTATTATTTATCCTTATATTTATATTCTCACCTGTACCCATATATATTGGAATGTTTCTTCTTGAAATTGCAGGCAGTGCAA